GTATGGACATGTAGATAGTTTGTGTTCGAAGCTAGCTAGGATATGCTATGCCCTTTTCATTTCATCACAACAATGTAGTAGAGAAATCATTAAACAATTGTATTTCGGATGCTTCCACTCAAATCTAAAATATGGAATCATGCATTGGGCGAATTCCGCAGAAGCTCATAGGGCCTTCACCTTACAAAAAAGGGCAGTCCGTATCTTGGGAAATCTGAGAGCAAGAGATTCATGCAGGGAATATTTAAAAAAACTGGGTATCTTCACAATGATTTCCCTTTACATTTATGAAGTAACCTGTTTTGTATTTAATCATAAAAGTTATTTTGAGACTGAAAAAGTCGAACATAATTACAATACAAGAAACAAAGATTATCTGTTGCCTCCTCAACACTCATCTGCTCGGTATCAGAAAAGTTTATATTACAATGGATGTAAATTATACAATTGCCTGCCAAAATCTATACAAGAATCAAAAAATAAATTCCAATTCAAGAATAAAATGAAAAACTTGCTCCTGAGAAAATCTTATTACACCTTGGATGAATTCTTCTGTGATCCAATCATCGCTGACTGATGAATAATGTTTTTAGAGTAGACGTTCATATACTTTTTATGTTTATGTACCTGTGAAATCTTGTATATTATTATGTTTGTTTTATACCTACGATATTTATTTATTTATGTACTTTAGCCTACTTTTGACGTTTTTTTCTTAAACTGTATGTTTTTGAAACAAATAAATCTATCTATCTATCTATCTATCTATCTATCTATCTATCTATCTATCTATCTATCTATCTATCTATCTATCTATCTATCTATCTATCTATCTATCTATCTATCTATATCGATGCTCGGTATTTCCATGTGCAATACTCTTCCATGGGAAAATCATGTTCGATCCATCTTGAAAGCTCCTTCACAAAAACTCGGATTTTTATTCCGTGCAAGAATCTTCGATACACCTCAAAAGCCTCTCATGATCATGATTTAAAAAAATTCGGATTCGAATTTTTTTTCTTTTCTTCGCATTTTCTGAGGAACATTCACCATGGTGATGTATATATTTTCTTATATTGTCAGAAAGAGGAGATTTCAACGAACAAAAAACGCCCCGAGTTATTTTGAAAACCTGATATTTTCACGTGAGAATTCTCGATTGAAAATTAGGGTGTTTTTTCCGATAATAAGTCAGAATGAGGTGTCTGTAGGACATGGAAAGGTAAGTTTACACCATGAAATTGTTTTTTGCATAAGATAAAAATGAAAAGTCGAAAACTTCATTATTTTTTAATTTTTCACATGAATTCTGAGGGCTCGTAGTTTCACTGGGAATCAAGACATTGTCGTTCTAGATGACAACCTAGTTAGGTAGTTAGTAGGCAGGAGCTATAATATTGTCTGTTCATTGAAAAGACAATTGAAGAAAATATGTAGTTCAGAGACATCTACGTGAACTCAGTAAACTAAGTTATTCATATTTTATTCCTAACCCATAAAATTTTTCATGGTCCTGTCAAGTTTGTAAATAAAAATATGTCATGTTGAAACCCGAAAATGAAACATTATCACGAAAGATATTATCAAGTATGAAAACCATCTACCTATAATTGAATGGAAGTAGGGAGATGTTTAGGCAATGCTGTATCAGGTTGACTTATGATGCAACTTGAATTTAAGTTGGAACTGTGGAAACTTCGGAAACTCATCAGTGCTTTCACACTTTTTCGACATGCAAGCCAAGCAGAAAGGTAGGGGCTGCTTATTTCCTTCTATATTTTTGATAAGTTACTATATAATTCATGGAATTCCGTTATTTGCAGTGAAAACATGTCTTTAGTGATGTAAACTATGTACACATCGGAATCACTATACTTGAAAATATCTGGTACCTACCTACAGCGAAGAGTACCTACATGAATACCTTTTCAGTTGAAAAACGAAAAACTATGAGTGATACAAACAAATTGATGTGGAAGAATCACATCAGGAATCATTATGTGAGTAATGTTCAGATGAAATGTACCAGAAGGATGATGATATGTGAGAACAGAATGGAAAATTTCCCATCTGAAATGAATATATAGAAGTAATAAGGTTAGACTAAATCTGTTTATTTCATCAATGTCTTATGGATATTCTGCTCGAAACACGAAACATCAAGATGCTGGGATATTTAGAATTGTTTTTATTGGAAAATAACTTGTATATGTACGAATGACAATACAAATATATTCTTTAATAAATTGAATATACCTAATTATAAAGAATTATTATTGCAATTTTTATTCTACTAATTTGTTCTCCTCTAATACCCTGTTTATTGTTGTACAGATGTATTGGCAGGTAAGTTTGAAAACACTATATATATTGTACTAAAGGTATATAGGTTAAATATATGTTTTGCTGAACAATGATTATTTTTTATAAAATCATCTTATCCACTAACTTCACTAAATATGAGAAGATGTGTCTATAATTGCCACAAATTGAACCATAGGAATATTCAATACCGATATGTATAACTTTTTAATTTATATTATGTAATCATTTTGAATAAACTTCATTATTATTTATTATCATTCTATAATATCTGTTCAAATGCCCGTTTCCTCCTCAGATGCTTCTTAATCTTCAGGTCGTGTTCCTTAAGGAAGGAGTTCCTCTTCAGCATCATATTCTAAACTACATTGATGAGTCTGAAACTATAAAAATATTTTATATCTATTTCGTTCCCAGTTTCAATGATCTGTACCATTCTGAAATTAATTTAATGACAATTGACTATGAAACAATTTTTAGAGGTCCCAAAGTCAAGTTCTTGGTAATTTTTGTACTGAAACTAATAGTTCCAGTCAACTAGAAACTAATAAGCGATAAAAAAATATATATACCTTCCTTTAACAAACTTGGAACCGAACCCTCCTTCCAAAACCGTTTCCAATTCTTCATTGGCAAGAAACAGTTCCCTCAAAATGTTGGAAACATACAGTATCATGTTCGCTCACTTCAAATACTCACATTCCTGAAATATCAATGCATCAAGTTTCAAATATTATGCGATTCGAGAAAAAAATTTCACCTTGCAATCCAATGAATATGGCATAAACTCATTGAGGATTTGTGGCTCAAATTCACAACAGTGAGGATAGGGGAAACCAGGTCTTGATAATTTTACACCTCCACCTCCTGGAGTGCGAAGTTTTCAGATAACATTGCAAAATAACACAATCGCACTCACAAACCAATCAACAAACTGCAATAGAAAACCAATACTAGAAGAAATAATTAGGAATAATAGTAATTTTCAAGAATACGAATTCAAAGTATAACATATTCACAAAGACGGAGTTATAAGTTAGTGACAACTGTCAGAATATAATTTTTTGATTATGACATCTCAATCTCATGAAAGAATCTTCTTCATCGCCTTTGTATCAAATATCACGTCAATGATGGAAAGCACATCTGTGGTTGAGTACATATTGGAAAAAAATAGAAGAAGAGAATATCAACCTAATATGGTCTATTATGACATGAACAAATGAGCTCTTTCCATTTTCTCATCCCCAGCGCCACTTGACAGACAGACATAATATTTTGATTGAATGAACAGACAAATGATCAAGATAAACCGTTTTTTACCCTCGAAAACTCACGCCCTACCACTTTCCGACCTCAGATCGCCCGTAATCTATTTTCTCTACGACTATCGTATTCTACATTGATTACATATAGGTTAGTAATTGATGAATGAAGATGATTCCAAGACACCGTGGATCCCAACTCATTATTCAACGGCACTCAACCAATCACAGATTCAGAATTTTCAGGATCCACAGCAACTGAAAAGGTTAGACTGATGAAAAACCAGCAAATCTACCAAACAAATTGCTCAAGAAGGCTCTGCTTCATTTTACGGGTCACGTCACGGCTTGACTTTCGCGAATGTCAGATTGAGTTATAGAGTCTTTTAAGTTTTAACTTTAATATCTGGAGGATATAATGGAGGCTTGCCGTTCCATAGAAATGTACTCTATGAATATTGAAGATATTCGAGATCTTGGATCTCCATGGATGATAACTATTCCTGAGACCAAAACAAAAATTGTAAGGAGGTTCACTGTAACCGGGAAATTTTATCAATTTTGTGGAAAGTACATTGATATACGAGCAGCAAATGTTGGTATTTCCAATTTTTCTATGAATTACCAGAAAGGAAAATGTACTCTTTAGGAAATTGGAATTAATAAGTTTGCAGCAATAGGAAAACAAATAGTTATATTTTTGAAGCTACCAAATCCCGAGATGTACACCGGGCATTGCTTTGCTTGTCAATGCAAGTGGAGGTATAACAGCATTGAAAAGACATGGTGGCTGGAAGAGCACATCGGTGGCAGAAGGATTTCTAGAAGATTCCATGTTGAATAAAAAAAACGGCAGATTCGAATTCTTCAATGAATCTAACAATGTTCATCATCATCAAATAACAGTTCCTTCACACAGAAAACATCAACTAGCAATATGAATAAAAATGTCAGTGTTGATTTAAATGCAACACCAACAGTAAAATTTCACGAATTGTGAGAATATCACTAAAAATTCAGTCACTATGTACGAGAAACATAATTTACTGACCTAATAATTATTGTGTTGTTTCATCATTGAGTTCGTTGAATATTAAAGATTCCTGTCAATTGTATCATCATATCATTAAAATTCATACATCAAGTATATTATTTTCATAAATAATAATTAGATTCTCTCGGATAATTCCGAAACTCGCCTACGGCTCGTTTCGGAATCCTCGGGAATAATAGCTATCATTATACGCTCGTTGAAGAATATACTATTCCCTTTCATCTTTGTTATATTCTCTTTCTTTTTCAATGAGTTTCATCCCACTATGATTTTCCTTCACATTTTACCGTTTTCGAAGGCTCCAGCACTGGTCTAATAAGATTCAGTGAGTAGATAAAATATATCGCAATACTCACTGGTGCAGTACCTGGGCTCGTCCGTCCCGTCACCGCAGTCGTTCTGGTTGTTGCAGTACCGGTTGTGCGGCACGCACCTGCCATTGCCGCACGCAAACTCCGACACCCTGCAGGCGGCAGGAAAGGGGGTACCCGCCGCCGCTGCCATCGCCAGGCAGACGACGATCGAGGCCGAGGCGACGGCGAGCGCGAACAGGGGCGGCGACATCCTACCAGGGCGATCTGGAACAAGACGAATCATCAAATCATGCACCATAAATCAGCCAATCAAACTGTGCTCCATCACATCAGTGATGCGATCCATTCAAATGAGTTTTCTCTACACAGACCTATAAAAATTCCCAACATTCCCATTCCCATGACTGACTTAAGTTTTTTGGCAAACGAAAAACGTTTTTAAGAAACAATAAGATTTACTTGTTATTTAACACAACCGATTCGTGTGAACCATACAATCAGAATGAATTAGTTGAATGACATGAATATGTGAGAAACCTGGAAATGCATATCGAATGAATTTTTTCTACTCACATATCTAAAAGGGCATTTAGCGTGCGGATACGTAGCACGCTAAATGATCGATTAATCACGGATTGACGATCTGTGATTTATTCAAAATATTAAACACGTGACCATGGCAACACGATTTCTTAAACACATTACCATGGCAACACAGTTCATCAAACACAGCTTCAGTAATTTGAGACATGTCTGGCCTGCAACTGGCCTGTCAATAGTATTAACTGTCAAATGTCATTTTCGAATTTTGTAACAGAATTACTCAAACAATTTTCGTTTGTATCAGATTTTTTCATTTAAAATATATGTAGAATATGAAAGTCAACTCGAAGAGAATGTTTTGGTACTTGCGTATTTCCAGGAAGTGTAAAAATGAAGCATCCATCTTTGAGAACAATTTATTTATTTTGCGCTAAGCATGACAATAAACGTGAAACAAAGGTTAGTAAGCAATGAACTGGACACAAATACAACCAACATCACCTATATGTGTCTCGCTGGTTGCATGCATCAGTTGCATCTATTACGTTCTCAATTCCCATTCCTTCCGAATTATTTTGTAGGTTAGCAGAAAAAGCAGGTATGTTAGTGTAATTTCAGGAGTTCGTAGAAAAAGCATAGTATGTAACGCGTTTATAAACTCTTCTAGACACTCGTTTATTAAACACTCGCTCCGCTCTGTTCCGCTCGTGTTTAAAATACTCGTTACTAAAAGGACGTTTATAACACTTGTTACATAATATACTATTATAAATCACAAATCGTCAATTCGTGATGAATCGATCATTTATCGTGGTACATACATATATCCGTACGCTGAATACCATTTTAGTTATGTGAGTAGAAAAAAGAAACAAACGATGTTCTTTACTCTATGGCTCAAAAGTTACCTTCTTTTCAGCAAGAAGTTCATGCTCTACAGGGAAGAGGATTCAATTATTCTGGATTTTTGTGACAAATGAGCCAAAATAACATTCTCAGTGGTATTAAAGATTAGCTATGAAAGGTAGTGTCAAGTAGGTCAAATACTTATAGAATAAGATCACTCAATCTCCTGTATACATTCCAAGATTTTCAATCATCAATTTACTGTTCCAAATTTAACATCCAGTACAGTATAGTTTCGTTCAGGTCAGTTGAGTGATAATGTTATTCTTTGGGCATTTGCCCTATAACTTGACAGTTTTTCTAATGATAAACGACTGACTCAACTGATCTACACTTTCCATTTGAAATTTCAGTGGTTATTGTGACGATGCTGCAAATCAAAATATATATTATTTTCCAAATTGAAATCTTAGTATATGAGCTTTTCTTTTCAGCTATACGCTAATATCGCACCAAAAATCCCCATGGCAAGTTCTCGTTGGCAAAAACTCCGATATGATTTATACAGGGTGATACGAAAGTACTCTGTCCGGAAACTTTCGAAAAAATGACATAACCTAAACGTAGATTCGTAATGAGAGGATTTTCGGGAGTTGAATTTCAATCTGATATCATTATTTTCCACAAGGATGCTTAGGAAATGAATTCGACGTTTAAGTAAGCGTTTTCGGACACATACTTATTTTTTATTTCTTGGAGCACAAGAAAGGAAATTCCTACAATATTCGTGGAACATCGTGCGCACCTAGAGAAGATAGGGAGAGGAGGTACCTAGGTGATGTTTTCTTTTGAATTCCTGGAGGTAATAAGTTTTTGATGAGATTGCTCCTATTGGCAAATAATTCCAAAACTTCGCTGATCTATAAACAAACGAGTTCTGATAGAGTGTTGTTCGACATATTCATTTCGAGATTAACGACGAAAGAATGTGCTGACTGAACAATTTTGGTGAGGATATCGTGAGGAATCATTACTTGAAGTTTGCCAAAGTACTTTTGAATCACCCTCTATGATGGTATATTCCTTGTATAATTATGCGAATCTTTCTCGGTCGTGAACTCCTCTAATAACATGACAGGATCCTTATATAATATCCGATGTCTATTTCGTCACGAGACAGAACGTGAGAAAATCTGTGTCACAGCTTTATAGTCATGTTAACCTACCCCCTGAGCATGTTAAAATCCGATAAAAGCCTTCCATCTCCTATATAATTCGCGTATCCCTTGGCATCATCTTTTTTCGGGAAAAGTGTAGTATTATTCATTCACGAAGTTTGCTTTAGGTTCAAAGTTAACAGCAACTTTCGAGGTCTTGAAAATTTCGAATAACATGAGCTGATAGGTATACTTTCTGAATTCTCCTAACTTTAGAGTGGCTTCTAAACTTTAATTTCACTATCTAGTCCAGCCAATGAGTGAAAAATGAATGAATTGAATCTTGATGTTTTTAACAGTTTCAGGAGAAAATAAGTGTTTGAGTAATCTGCAATGAAGACTCAATGGATAGCGATAATGCGATAAGTGGGAAAGGATTGACGAATTTGCAAAAAATATCCTTACTAAAAAAGGACAATTGTATTGCTATTTCTGGAACACTAATCGATAAAAAGACAGGAGTTGCTTGATTTAAACCTCTTTCATATGACGTTTTGCAATTGTAAAAAAATTCAGCTGTGCCTGAAATATTTTGAAAAAACTAAAAATCACTTTCAATTATTTTCTTGGTTAACATCACAGAAGGAAATTCGAAATTTTGACTAAAGATCGGGTGATTAATCATAATGAAGAAGTTGATACAGCTCATCATCAGGTTCCTGATATAGAATGCAAGCATACAAAATGAACCAAAATAATAGTATATAATTCAGCAAGCATATAATGCATTATGGGGGCTATAATTCACGAAGGTTGAGTTCATGTCACTAGCGTAGCAAGTGGCATATAATTCACCTGAGTGAATAATAGCTCAGTATATGCGAGTAGAATACTATACTTTGTCCTTGACTACTGTCCTTTTTTATGTATAAATTCATTTTCCTGTTATATTAATTATTTGTCCACGATTGTTCTACTTCCTCAAGCAAAACGATAGCCATTTTTCACACCAGTGAATAATAGCGGTGAATTACCATTATTAACTGGTCTAAAGTTCCTCATAATATGTTCATATCGCGTACCCTATAGAAACTCCAGACCAGTGAATTATGGTTATTCACTGCTATTATTCACTGGTGTGGAAAATGGCTACCGTTTTGCTTGAGGAAGTACATGTATTATGAATATTTGATACAACAGTCGTGGATAAAGTCTATTTGACGACCTTGATACATGAATAAGTATTGGGGAACACTTTTTTATTATTCATTTATTGTATTCATTACATCGTATTTATAACAGAACAGACGTTCTCTGAAAGCATATTCATCTTCACCTTCACTCAAATTATCACAAAATGCAATGAGAATGGACCCTCCATTCAATTTATTATCAGATTGCTTCAACAGTTTTTCATCGTGTTCCAGAATAATGTCATATCATTATGAACTATAGAATGATAAATTTCTCAGCATTTCATGCTGAATGATCATGTAATCAAAAGAATTGGTATTCCGGACTGTTTCTCTTCTCAAATATATTGTGACATTGTTAGTACTTTCCACTATCAAAATTTTGTTATCCATGACCATGATGGTTGTTGGTGTAATCTCCACTTGTTTATCACTGTCGAACTCCTGCACCAATCAGCCGAATCGCTGCCCATATCTCCTGAAATTCGATCAGCAGTTTCCGGAAAATTAACATCACATCTGCCAATTCACTGGTGTTGACTCATTCTTTTAAACCCTATTGCCGGTTCAAAACATCTAGTAACACTCGTACCACGATATATTCCCAATGGAGAATCTTCAATAATTTTGAATGAAGATTCCAAAATATATATTATGGACCAACATCAATTATTTTTTGTTAAATAGTTGATTTATTCTTTCTACTTTCTACTGGAATAACCACTAGCGAATGATTTTTTTTTACTAATATAGTTGGATAAAAAGTTGATCTCATGTTTAAAAAAAAACGGAATTATCTGCCAATCTTTTACTCCACGGTAAAATGAAAATTTTCTCCAAGGGCACCAGAATCGAATACTCTCAACCAGTAGACAATACCGAAAAATGCACGGCAGGTGAATATTTTTCTTTCACGGTCAAATTGTCAAATGCCTTCAAAATGGGAGTCGTACTTACAACAAGGTGAAATGAAGTTCTCATTAGGACAAATTCCATGTGATACAAATGAGTCAACAATATACAGGGTATCCCCAGAAGGTCTCTACAATAACCTACCTACCACATATTCCTCAGACCAAAATCATTTGATTCAAGAAATCTTCACTTCAGTATGAAGCACTCAGTGAGGGCAATTAAAGTCACAATTTTCAAATCATTTTTTCTTATTACTGCGGAACGGCTCATGAGACTTCAACTGATATACGATAGGTACGTTGGCATAGCTTTATTTGACATAAAACCCATACCTATCATGGTCATGATGAATATCATTTCATGAGTATAGAACTTGATTTTTTTTCAGTAGTTGAACATTTTAAGAATCTACGACAATGGAAAGAAAGGATTGAAGTATGGGAATTTGGAAAGGGTAACTCATTTACTACGAATAAGACACTCTTGAAAAATTCGCTTACTGCTATGGATTCCTGAAAATGTCTACCAAAGTAATTCGGACCAATATAGTAAACGTACAACACGATTAACACATATTTCTTGATATTTTTCACCATTATTCACCATTTACAC